AAAAATAATTATTTCATTGATATACTCGTTTAAAAGCTAAGCAGTAAAAACAAAACCTAAACCTGCCAAAATTATTACATCTTGTCGGTCCCAAGCCCGAAAAAAAGGTGAGGGGGTTTTAAGATTGTTTAGTTATTTAATAAGATATCACTTAAAAAACTATATTAAGTACACGTCGAACACTCGATAATATATTCACGCTATTCGCACGCCTGATTGACGCTCCGCCTCCTTATTCAAATAATACAATGACCTACATAGCCGCAATGGCGAAGTTGAGATTTGGCACTGATGTATGCAATTTTATTTCATTGATATTATGTATAAATTGAAAGTATCTCTATCAAAAAAGATTTTGAAGTGTTTGTATTCATACCATACTTGTACATTTTAGCTAAAATATGTCAATGTTCTGATTTGAAAAGGCATAAATTCGTGTTCAAAAAGGGGCCAGATCGCAATGTTATGAAGAGTCATTCTTTATGAAATGAATATCTATACTCCATTTTTTCTTGGGGGGGGGGGGGGGTATTGGGAAAAAAATGAAAAACATGATTTAGAGTTTTGACAAAACCTAGATCCAATTGACCTTTTTATTGCAAGTTTTTAAATTTAAAGAATATCTAAAATCAATGCGGTCTCAACTTTGTATTGTATACTTCTGTTTTTAGAATGAAATTGAATCCAAATTGAATCCAAACTCGGAAAGAAGCAGAAGCAGAATTGGATGAGCGGATATAGAATTGGACAGGAAAAATATGTAAATAACACATTTAGAAAAAACGTTAACTTTTTAAAATAAAATGATAAACCATTGAGATTTCTTGGAATTTAATTGATTCCAATAAACATGCTTTGCAGTCATCATCATTCCTCAAGCTCAACAAGAAATGGTTCTAAGTATATTATATGACGACAAAGCTGTATAATATTATTACATTTTAATTTTATCACTTTTTTCAGATTATGGGAATACATCATTACAGTACAGACCATTGATGCTGGAAGTGAGTGGATAGTGTTACCGGAGACTCAGGGATCGAGAAAATAGATCCATAAATTGTACAGTGTATTCACGAAAGTGGATCAAATAAATATGTTCAATCCAAAAGTAACATTGTTTGTTTTTCTGTTAGCATTTTTTTATTGATATAAATCTAATACCTATCAATTTTTAGCATGCAGATTCATAATTATTAGATAGTCGAAGAATCTGAAACATATCTTTAAATTCTGCATTTTGAAGTATCATAGTTAAAACAAAGTCAATATTAAATGATCAATCAATCTTAAAACTGACAAAATGTTTTTGTGAGAAAAAAGAAAGAGGGCTAATTTATATATTGTACCTTATGTACCACTGATGTTGGTGTGAGTGAAATAAAAATGATGAGGATTAACTAGTATAAAGTCAGACGACACGTTCCTCAAATTTATGTTTTGTATCTCTAGGTATTATATACATGTACATGTATATGTAAAATATTCATATTTGTCATTCTTTTCCGATTTCTACATTGTTTTCAAAATGTTTTTAAATATAAGTACATATGTATAACAAAAAGTTTGATATATGCCATTCAAAGGATTGCCCATTAGGGTTATTAATGAATATCTTTTAGGGTCAGTTCAAGTATAGACATTCATATATATACATATATAGCCCTTCAAGATTTTTATTTTAGGCACCAGTAGCTACTGAGGTCTTAGCTGTCTTGCGATATTGTTTCTTAATTAGGACAGCAGGAGAATATATCATTGGTTCAATACCAAAGGTTGCAGTCATTCGTTCTTGACAGACATGGTATCATTTTTGAAAGTGCATGGTGTGGGGTAGGCGTAAAAAAACTGCAAGAAAAAAGTGGGGAAATTCTCCAAACTCGCGGGGGGGGGAGGGGGGGTAAACATCAGGTTATGTTGAGAAAAAAATTGGGTGGGGATGTCATCCCCCCTACCTAACCCAAACCTGATGCTACATGCCTGATTGATATGGTTTTACTTTAAAATTATGTGAGCTGTCATAGTGACTCTCTTTCATAAACAATAATTATTGTGAGCAAGCTCATAAAATAGTGCTTTTGCATTAAATGTTTTTTTATTTTAAAAAAGGTCCAAATATTAATTTAAAACCTTTTTAAAATTTTGCTAGTGCAGATATACATACCAAAAATGACTATGACATACATGTATACTCAAGTCATAGGTAGTAAAACTGTTGTGTTGAGCATAAACTTCCAATTTCTCTTCATTCAAAGTTAAATATGTAAATGTGCCAAACTCATATAGTACACTTTTACCTTTACCTTGAAAAAGCTATGTCCTTGAGTCAAGGTCAAACATGTCTAAATGAACTTTGGTCAAGGTCATGACAAACCTACAGCTCGAAAATTATATCCAAGATGAAACTTCGTCTTTTCATTAGAATGTTACAGAATGGGCAAAGATTGCACTTTTCTTCTACCAATGACCTTGAACTTGTTCAAATGACCTTGAGTCAAGTTTTTGACACATCTCTCGATCACAAGCAATCTTAATATCAAGTATGAACTTTCAGTGGCACTTCATTGAAATGTTATGGACAAGTCAAAATTTTACATACATATGGATCGGTGGACAAGGTGATTCCTACTCCCCCCCCTTTCCAAGTTTCGTTTGTGAGGAATATAAAATTCCTTTTGAAATTGAATGTGCATTTATTTATCAACAATAGTAAAATTATGAGTATGTTTTGATCAGAACCAATATGACCAATATAATGGACACTGTACATGTAATCAAATTACCCCCACCCCTTCAAAAAAGCTTATAAATGCCAAATTATCACACATTTCAACCATTTGTAACTTTTTTCTACTAAAGTTGCCTGCAAATTTTATTGTATAGATATGACATATGGATAACCCCTAACAAGATAACACCATTCATTTTTCCAGCAGTGGTTGTAGATTTTGTGTATATAGTGATAAACATATGTAACTTTTTCAAAATTAATAAGCATTGACGCCATGTTCTTTTCTCGTTGTCATGGCAACAATATCACCACAGAAATTTTGTTTTTCCTATTTTGAGAGAATAAAGTAATTCCTTCTTTTAACAAATAAAGTAACCAAAATACCTTATCTTATCACGTTCAGAAAAAATATTCATAGAAAAATGTCTAAAAATCATTGATTTTCATAAGGATTTATGAACCCGTTGCTAAGGAAATGAATTTCCTTGGATACCAGTCCCTTCATACGTTCAAAAAAAATTTTAATTGTGTTTTAGCATTAGGTAGGACAAAATCTTTTATATACCAAAAGCTTTTGAAAAAATAAAATTTTGACTTTCCATTCAATGCTCGATGCTTGCTGATTTTGACTCTTAAATATTTAGGAATTTTTTTTTCTCACCTATAAATACGGACCCAATAATTTTTCCCTGAGTTGGGAGGACCACCAAACGTCATTTTAAAGATGGTATAAAATATTTAATTATGTTGATTTTTTTTCTTTACTCTGTAAAATTGTAATTTTGACAAAGGGCAAATAGAAGAAAGTTTTTTTTATTCATTAAATCTCCTAACCCACTCTGAATTATTTCATTCCTTTTCAAATGTTGCTCCGCTGTAATGAAAATTGTAAATGTTTATTTGACAGAGTATACGAGAGGTGATCAAAAAGTAAACGATATCTTAGGTATTTGATATTTATATTATTGTTGAAATATTCAAGTATTTTTCAAAGTGTAAATTGGAGGTCTTTGATAGCATATTGCTTAATTAAAAACACATCCCTTTTCAAACTTGCTTTCACCGGGCAACATAACAAGTATCATATTTATCCATCTGCCTTCCTTCACTAAAACGATCTATCCGATCATTGATTGAATTTAGAGGAAGTCATTTGTCTTAATAAACTGTGAACAAATTCTTATACGCTACTTCAAAGGCATGTTTAAGATATACATTAAATATTTTAGTCGTTTGTTGAACGAGTTCCACTGAGACAACCATTTGTCGGCTATGTGTGCACCAAATTTGTTTCTAATCTAAATTGTGGTTTTGTAGATATAATTCGCGAACTTTTTGATAACCCCTCGTATTAGTAGGTACTAAAACAAGGTCATTCATATCGATTTTATGTGTTTAATTTCTTTGTGTTTCATTGGTGATAATCAAAATTTTGATAGATATTATGTTATCTGTGACAAACTTACAAACTCTTAATTCTAACTTTGATGATACTCATTTTTCCTTACCATGAATCAAAGAGTTTAAGATTTTTTTCTTTTATATCAATACGTACACTATTTGACAACTGTTCGATAATGATATTGAATAAATTACTTCAAGCCACACTATAACACATTTCCTCTTTTAAAAGTGTTCATACTATTTGAAATATTTTACAACTGTAATTCTATTCTACATTTAAAGATCGTTATGTCCCTTCATATAAAGAAGAGGTCTGGAAAACAAAATTCTGTGCTAAAAATAGACCACGTGCTGCTATCCATGAACTACTTTCATGGTTCTTTACACTCTTTTTGAAGACAACGATACCTTGTTTTGAACTTGAAATTATCATTTAAAAGTGCAAAATTTAGACATTTTCTCAACAAATGGTTGTAGACAGAACATTAATGCAGAGTTTGCGTATTTTTTTGGATTTTTTAAGGCTTTGCTGAATTCTGCAGCTGCGCAGTTCTAAGGAGCATATCAAAAGCATTTTTCTGCAAAAGTATAGATTATATATGCACAACATGCATTTAGTTATGCATATTTATTGTATCTTTATCATAAGGACTTAAAATTTGATCAAAATATAATGTATTTTAGCCATTTGAAGAAATGTTTACATTTTGTTCTCACTGCACTAAAGGTGGCCGTACATCCCCCTTAAACGTCTTCTTTCTTCAATATCAAAGTAATGATCCCTGAAATTTGAACAATTGAATTTCATGAATGAAAAACCCAAAGATTGATTTCTCTAAAGGCTCAAATAGAAAATTAAGATAACTTACAGTGTATGTATACTTTTAAACTGAAACAGGCCATTTCTTTCTCTATGTAAATTTTGATCCACTTTTACACTTGACACAATATCTGTAGCAATGAGATCTTTTCCGACTAGGTTGTAAACAGTCGTCCGTGACGTTCTGTAGGGAAAAGTTCTGAAAATAGAAAATAAGCTCAAAGATCAGTAAGGAATAAAGTAAAATGGTCATGAGAACTATGTGTGTGTGTGTGTGTGGGTGGATGAGTGAGGGTGAGGGCGAGGATGTGTATGGGTGTTTTGAACTGTTGACAGAAATGCATTTGATCATGAAGCATTCATACCTATCAGAATCAAGTCGTATCTGCAACTGCTCTATGCTGGATCCCATGAATTCTGCAAATTCTTGTGCTGTGAGTGTTCCGTGACCACCTCCCCTATCTTGATTTGAAACTTCTGAAAAAAATGTTTCACCCATCATGCTACTGAAAGCTCTAATGTTATATGTGCCTTGTTTACATAAAGCATAAAGAATGCTTTTTGCGTCTATGTTAGCAAGAAGAGCTTCCCAAAGTTGTATCGGCCAGCCTTTAATATACATCGTAGGTGGGGGAAATGTATGGAATTCAACATCTTGGAGAAGCCGTTCTCGAAGTTTCATTCTCATGAGAAATCTGTCTTTGGCACTTATTCCTGGGTCGTCTTCAGATTTCCACCATAATCTTACATCAGAACACAAATTTGCAGCTCTTTCATCTCCATTGTTTCTCATCACTTGTTCTACTTTAGGACTAAAATGAGTCACCGCCATGGGAACGGACATGGGTCCACCACATCTTGCACCATGATATAAGTTAATTTTGTTTTTCTAGTCAATGCAGTTTTAATCCATGGGGCATTGTTGAGTCCTTCAATACCCCCTTTACAAACTTTCCGACGCATTCTTGTTAGAAGGTGCGACGAATCAATGCATTTTACTTCCACCTGAGAACGTGTTTGACTGTATTCTGGCATGTAAAACCAAAATTCAGGAAAAGACGAATCATTAACTTTAATATCAGGTGGGAGGGGAGAAGACTGTTTCCATTCAAGCAATTTTTGCTGCCAAATGAATTCGGCATATGCGACGTTCAATACGCTTTTGGGGACTGTCTTTCCATTTAGGACCTTTTTTGCCTTTTCCTTCAGAGAGATAACAAGATTGAACTTCGTTTTTGTCTTCTTTTTAACAAAATTTTGGTCTCCCTTGTTCGAGCACGACATCAAGTTATATCCAAGTATTTCAGAGATGACATTGACTTTGTCTAATTTTGGAATACTTAACTTAGAGTCCGTTTGATGCACATGTTTTAAATACTTTCATATTATCTTAAGATCAACGTCTCTGAGTTTAATTTCACTCCTCGACTTCATGGCGAATTCAAGTTCTTCTTTCGTTTTTCCATCCCATTTTCCTTTTGAGTTTGCTGTAGAGTCGGTTCTAAGCAATTTTATAAGGGATTCAAAATTACTGTCAGTAAGGCGTATTGTGTTCAATATCTCTATTTTTCGTTTCAAAAACCTTTTCTTCGGAAAATTGGCTCTGGTGCCAATCTGGACCGTATCTTTCCAGAAGTTTGGCCTTTGCTATCTCTTTCTTGTATTTTAGGTCTCTGGCTTTCTGTGCATAATTCCCAAGAATTTTTAAACTGTATTGTAAAGTTTCAACGACTGAATGTTTAATGGATTTTTGTAACTCACAAAGTTCTCGGTCAAAGTCCTCAACTTCTACCAATTTAAGAATAGTAGAAACCTTTCTCATGCTATCGTTAATGCTCTGTTTTGATTGTAGTAAGCTTTCCCCGTTTTCATGACCTAGTAAATCAACATCACCAAAATTATCAGTCAATCCTTGTTTCAGCTTTTTGCCATCATACGAAAGACAGGCTGATTTTCCAGTAAGTGCGCAGGATACTCTTTTAATAACATCTATGTATATCCCAGGATCCCTCCGATTAAGAGAATATTTTCCATATGGTTTAAAATTCCTTAGCACCGAGATATCAGGGACAGCAAAATTGATTTCTGAGTTTTCCGGATGGTACACCCCTCCTCTTCCGGTGTCTAAGTCCATGCTGGACATGTTTTTAAAGCCTGACATAAAGCGCACAAATTTACTTCCAAATAAACGATATCCTAATTTCCAAAATTTTTTTGTGTTATCAGAGTACCGCATACCAGTGGTATTATCCTTTTTGAACCATTGTACTACCTCAGCCCAAAGCATAAGAGCTATGTTATTCAATGGCATTGTCCTGTTTGCAACTAATGTCATAAAGTCTGACAAAACATCTCCCAAGCCAACTTTTTGTAGTTCGTTTATAACCTCTGGAATTAAAGCGATAAGTTCCTTTTCACTGGGTGCATTCGAAAAAGACTGTGTCTCTTTTTCTCTAGAAAGGACTTTATCATTTTCCCTGCGTGGTTCGTCAGAGTCACTTAGGGGAACGAAATCTGTTATCTCATCATAATTATTAGCGTGATTTTTGGGAGCTTCATAAAGTTCCAAACCTGTACTCGCTAAATCATGAGGATGTGAAAACAACTTTCGTCTTTTCGTTTCGAAAATTCGTTTTTCATTGGGCAACTTTAAAGCAAGTCTTGCTTTTCTTAAATAAGGCGATTTCGGGGTACCTGCTTTAATTTCAATATTTTCAGCACCCTTCAGCGGAGAGATCACAGGAAAAAATTGTATTTGTCTCTTTTTGAAATGTATTTCCCTGCGTTTGCAGCACAATAACTTTGGCTTTTTAAGGATATGGTGATTTTGATGGTGTTGTCTGGCACTGCCTATAAAGATTGTTTTTTTCATCTGCAGTTGATTTTTCATAAATCTGAGAGCCATTAAAAACAAGACGCTGTCGCCGCCTTTTCTCTCCCTTTGGTTTATGAAGTGACAAATTAGGTTTTATCCTGAATGGCATGATTTGTTTCCAATATTCTGAAAACATCAATGAAATAATCATGTGTGCGATAACCTCAAATAAAACATATGTGAGCGACAACTTTTTTTAAAATTTGAATTGTTTGCCAACAGTTGCATGTTAAATTAAGAAGAAAATAATCAGACGTTAAGGTAATTGTATTTATAATTAAAATCTCGATAGATATTTTGAACATAATTCTGCACAGCTAAGCTTTCATCTGCATTTGTCAAAAACGGCATGTTATTGTTGGCGATAACCTCGCATCTTTTCAAGTTTGCCAGGGGTTGTTACGATAAATACTGGCTTTTTCAGTCATTCAAATATGTTAACATATCCCATAAAGTAGTTGAAGTACTTTGCCAGAAATTAATTTGACCTCATAACTTTAATTTAGATAAATTGAAGGAAAAACTTACCTCGAGGCGCTCAAAATTTCCGCCATTATTAACTTAAGCGATAACCCTAAGTGACGTAGTTTGTCCGCCCTGGGTGCGCCCCTCTTAAATCCGCCACATTAACAACTAAAAATGAGAGGAACAAGAGGAAATAGAAGAAAAATCAGATAATACATGTTTTTGATTTTGTCCCTTCTAAGTTTACAGATAATCTTCTCAATAGATCTAAGGAATGTTAAGTAGTCTCAAGTGTATTTTGTCTCAAGATTTGTACATGTACAAATTACTATTACAACTACAAGCGTTTTGCCATTGACAAAGTGTACATGTACAAAATGATACAGGTAATACTATAAAGTCAATTAATTCTGCGTACATAATAGAACTACTCTTACTTGTAATTTGACGGCTCATATCGGCCATCGTACAATAATGTATCTTAGTAAAATAGTCTATCTGCATGCCACATTATATTATAATCAAACTAAAACTGTATTTGTAATAGCATTTTGAAATTATTTTACAGAATTTCTATTTTTAGTTACCACAGCAACACCTGTATCATAGTATAGTCTACTTGTGTACCAAGTCATATTGAAATCAGACTTAATCTGTAAGACAAGCCTGCTAATCGATCAATTGCACAACCAGCAGTTGTGTATAACAATCAAAAGAGATCGATTTCCGGTTGTGCATTTGATGCGAATAATTCCAGTACTGAGGTAGTAAATGGACCCGATTCAGACAATGATTGATAATTTTATTTAAATATAAGAACATGATTCCATGAGCATTTTATTTAAATCCTTAATTTCACATTCTCATAAAATACAGTGATTGTCGATTAGCGACTATATTTATTTTGAAGCAAGGGCTGGTAGAGCGAAAACGCTGATTGAAAATAGTATTCGCCGACTAAAATTCGTTTTAATCTCAATAAACCTTGAAAATTCAATGTCCACCATGAGTATGCTACAAGTGCATCCTATCCACCAAAATTGGGACTTCGATTTGTGTATAATTTGACAAATATTCGAGGAAAATAACATTGCTGATGCATGCGATCATTCAGTTGTGAAAGAGATCTCGTGTTATGAATGAGATAAAGGATAAAAAGTTACGAAAGTATTATACAATCTTCATAATTCACCTCTTATACTATTTTATTTTTGGTAATTATAAAATTTTAAATATTGGCTATAATAAGTATAATTTGAAGACGTTGCAGGGGGCAGATCCAGTTATTTTTTTAAAAAAGGGGGTGGGGGGTCCAGATTTCCAACACTCATGCATGTAGGCACTTCAAACCTGGCAACTTTGAGTTTTCAACAGTTCTATGGGGGGACTTTGACAAGCCAAAATCAAACAAACAAACAAATAAATAAATCAAAAACACAAACAAGCAAGCAGTAGATATACATGTAGCTATAATTCGCTGGGATCTTCCACTGGTTTCAAAGTGAAACCTTGCATAGGACGTGTTGGTAGTCGCACCCAGGGCTGGGATTGTAACGGTACTCGAAAGAAAGCATATTAAACGAGGGAACTCTATTTATAGCAATCAGAAAGGACAGAGATTGAACAACATGTACAGTGTACTGAGTATTTATTTTATTCGAAATATTTTTTTTATTCAAAGTATTTATTTTATTCAAAATATTTATTTTATTCAAAGTATTATTTTTTCAAAGTATTAAACGTAATAAAATATCCATGTTACATAACTCTCTCTCTCTCTCTCTCTCTCTCTCTCTCTCTCTGCAAAAATCAAGGGGGGGGGTGTCCAACCCCAGGAACCACCTTCTAGATCTGCCAATGATTTTCAGTCATTTTTGCAAGCACATTTTGACTTTTTCAGCAGCAGCGACCGATCTCTTATATATGGAAATGAGACGTTATTTTTCATTAGTTCTTTAAACTAATCTTAATTTTAAAAACTTGCTTTAAACTGAGCATTTATTGTTGTTGTTTCAATTTCATTGTCATTTCTAATTGGGAAATTAGTAATATATGGTTAAATAGAAAGAGTTTACAATAGGTACTCCCCAACCAGGGAGTATTTCAAGATATGAAAGGAAATCGTCGTGATTTTCCGGATAATAATGAAGTGGTAAAAGTTGCAAGGTGAATGAAAATTGAAAAAGTTTTTCCACAACACTGTAGTAAAAATTATTTTGAATGTGCTACAGATGTGACAACAAAAAGATTTTTCTTACATTTTTTCATCATACTACGCGCCTTGATTATAGCATACTGCAGAAACCATGGGTATTATCACGTGACGAAGATCCAGGGTTTCAGCATGTGGTTCATCTTGAGAGGTCTACATCTCCATTCATAAATTCTTATCATTCATCATTGACTTTTTAGCTCTATTGGTCAGAGATCAGTTGCTGTTGCTGTATATAGGTTTTTGTTTCAGTGAATGGTGTTGCTGTTGTTACTTTAAT